TCAAGTCCTCAGCCACATTGTAGAACTCTGGGAGATGCTCGCTCCAACCGACTGCTGTCACCTTCACTGTTCCAGTTTTTAAATCCTGAGTCAAGCAAAATAAATAAATAAATAAATAAAATAAAGCCATGCCAATCTCATCTTGTTTTCTGCGCAAGTTAGGTTTTATCAAGAAAGGGTGTAACGCAACTAAGTCACAGTCCGCGTAGAAGCATTTGCGGTGGATGATGGAGGGGCCAGACTCATCGTACTCCTGCTTGCTGACCCACAACTGCTGGAAGGTGGACAGCAAGGCCAGGTTGGAGCCACCGATCCACACGGAGTACTTGTGCTTGGGAGGAGCAATGATCTTGTTCTTCATCGTGCTGGGTGCCAGGCCAGTGATCTCCTTCTGCATCCTGCCAGCGATGCCAGGGTACATGGTGGTACCGCCAGACAGCACTGTGTTGGCATACAGGTCTTTGCGGATGTCCACATCATACTTCATGATGGAGTTGAAAGTAGTTTCGTGGATGCCACAAGATTCCATGCCCAGGAAAGAAGGCTAGAAGGGCGCCTCAGGGCAACAGAACCACTTGTTGCCGATGGTGATGACCTGACCATCAGGCAGCTCATAGTTCTTCTCCAGGGAGGAGCTGGAGGCCACCGTGGCCATCTCCTGCTTGAAGTCCAGGGCAACGTAGCACAGCTTCTCCTTGATGTCACACACGATTTCCCACTCAGCCGTAGTGGTGAAGCTGTAGCCGCGCTCGTTGAGGATCTTCATGAGGTAGTCAGTCAGGTCCCGGCCAGCCAGGTCCAGATGCAGGATGGTGTGGGGGAGGGCATACCCCTCATAGATGGGCACAATGTGGGTGACCCCGTTAGTGGAGTCCATCACAATGCCAGTGGTACGGTCGGAGGCGTACAAGGAAAGCACAGCCTGGATGGCCACATACCTGGCTGGGGTGTTGAAGGTCTCAAACATGATCTGGGTCATCTTCTCGCAGTTGGCCTTGGGGTTCAGGGGTGCCTCAGTAAGCAGCATGGGGTGCTCCTCAGGAGCCACATGCAGCTCGTAGAAAGTGTGGTGCCAGATCTTCTCCATGTCGTCCTAGTTGGTGACAATGCCGTGCTCAATGGGGTACTTCAGGGTCAGGATGCCTCTCTTACTCTGGGCCTCATCACCCACGTAGGAGTCCTTCTGACCCATGCTCACCATCACGCCCTGGTGCCTGGGGTGCCCCAAGATGGAAGGGAAGACGGCCCGGGGAGCAT